TTTTTTTCCCCCAGCAGGCGGGGGGGGGGGGGGGGCAAGTGCCCCACCTTGCCACTACCTGCGGGCGCCCATGTAGAGTGATCTACCCCAATGATGCTCACTCTAACTAGTTTCCTTGATGCTTATTAAGATGATAATTTAAACACATTTTACTTATTAAAAAATTATATATTATATTGTTGCTTTAACTTTAGCGTCGTAGTAACGAAGTGTAAACAACGATAGTTATATGCAAAATTTAATGAGGGTGGGAATACATAAAGACAGAAAAAGGCCTTTTAATGTTAAATAAATAATAATAATAAAGCTGATTTGAAAATCACGCTTCATCCCCAAAGGCTCGAAGCACGGTACAAATTCATCCATATTAAAAGAGAAATGAAAAAATCCATATTTTTATTTTACCACTACAAAACGCAACATTACAAAAACTACATACGAGAATACCCATTCTAAGTCTTTCATCCCTGGCAACCATAAACAACACAGTAATATTAATATAGCTAGTAATATTCGATGTCAAATGTATGTAGTCTACGCATATGCACTTAACTTAAAATGTCGAATTTCATAATTTTCATACACATTTTAGAGGTTTTCTACCAGGACATATGATTTACTATGATATACAGATAAAAGCTCACTAGATATTTAAAAAGCATATTTAATTTATACCGGTACTAACAATTTTAAAAATCTATATATTTTCATTTAATTTATTTAACTTTATAAACGTAGGCAAAGCATATTTTAAATTTAAAACGATTTTAAAGATATTTTGACTATGTCTATTTATTTCATTAAAAATTATTTAAAAAACAAAACAAAAGTTACTTTAAAACATTATGTTCGTATTTTTACTAATATTATTGAAATGAAACATTAATTCATATGCACTGTCACTGGAAAATGAACATTTTGATTATTTTTTTAAAGTTCAGGCGCCACCGCCCCCCCCCCCACGATAAAAAACAACAACAAAAAACAAAACAAAACAACTCCACAAGCTGACGTTAACGGAGCCTTTGCTTCATGTGTTTAAAGCCTTCGTAAACAGATCCAATGTGAAAGTTAATGGGAAAACCTGAATAAACAAAGACGAAACAAAACAGTTTCAATTTGGATGACTTTTTCCCGCTGTAGGTTGAAAGACATATTTTCATCTTTAGGGCCTTAATGTAAAATAAAAACCAAACAAAAAAATTTCCAGCGAAGGCCATGGAATATTCCAAGAATTGTTGGCTAATTATGTTATTATTACCCATGACGTCATTTGAATTGAAATGAGTTGACTGAATCGAATCAATATGATTATATGATTATATGAATATGACTATGAAAATGATATAAATATATGAAGAATAATTTATGATTATTTATGACATTTATTTTCATTTTATGAGATAGTAAAACCAAAAAGTAATGGAGTAATGGTTATAGCCTTAAATTTAAATTAATTGTAAACTAACTAGGCCTAGGCCTAGGCTAGTATTTTTTGGTGACCCTTTCTAAGCCTTCTTAGTTAGGCACTGGTGCTGTAAGTTGAAGAGTAAATCAGTAAAGTAGAGCCTGCCTGGTGATGCCTAATTAAAATTAAACTAATAACTAAGACAAGATCAGCTCGATCAGGGTGAATTCTTTCCCTTTCATTTAGGACTAAAAGTAAAAGACATAAAAATTATTTTGTTTCCCAGTCTGTAACTGTAAGTTAGTGTAAGTGTAAGAATTTACCAACATCAACGTGCACCCACTGGGCTCCCAAGTCCAAAGCGGTTACAAAATCCACCATGATCACTACTCAAAGTTAAATAATTACTGTCACAAAAAGGAGTTCATATTTTTTTTGGGTGGTATCTTTTTGTTTAAATTGTTCTAATTTTAAAATGTTGTCTTGCTTAAAATATATATTAAATTATGTATTTATTATGTGCTGAGAATATGTACAATGTAATTTTAAAAAAACTTTTCAATTTATAAAATAAAAGAATCTTATCTTATTTTGCTTGATTGGCGTAATGGTTAATGTGACTAAATCTGGGCCTGGATGTGAGACTTGAGACTAGTAAAATAAATCATAAAAGGTGCGGAGTGTAGAAAAAGTTGGGAAACAGTCTTAATCCTTAAAGTGGCCTGCATATAGTCTATGACTTATCAGCTATATTATTATCTGACTACATACTGTCAAATCATACATTAAAAAAATGCAGTTTGACTCCTCTGTCCTACTACTATGCTAAATCAATAATCTTCTACTTAACATGAATCTAAAATGATTATAATTAGGATTTATAATCATTGATTGAATTTGATTTGGGCTGGTTGTAGGAGTACAATGCTACATTTTCGTGATTTAATCATAATTCACTTAACTGGGGATTGAAATCTCATTGAACGTTTGATAAATGTAAAAGTTAAAACTTAATTACATGCAGTTAAGTAATTTTTCTATGTATTACAGAAGAAAGATGGAGGAAGAAAAAAAAATCACAGTCTACTCAATATATGTGGCAGCATTGGCTGTATACATAGGGATAATTATATCGGTAGATAGGCTTAATTGGCGTAAAGAAAATGTCACAGTTCTGAATGAAGTGAACAATTATTGTATGTAAGTAGTTAAGATTGTTAAAATTTTATTATTTACCATTTGATAATAGTAGGTACTAATTAATGACTTGCAACCTCACATTTTTTTCATTAAATTTCTAATGACCCATCCGCTTTTACACTGCAGATTTATTTCAATATTTTTTTTTAGAAAAAAACAAAAGAAAATAATACGCATCAAATGCACTTGCAATTTTTTTTTTTTTAAAGAATCTCAGATAGCACAGTTATCAGGAATTTTATTTTTTGTTAAATCCTATTTCCTTTCATCTTCCCCTTGAAAAACAGGAAAAACTGATTGTTTGAGGGGGGGCTGAACATTTGAAAGAATATGTTGTCATTGACAACGAGCCTGTGTGCCCAATAAAGGATTGAAAAATAATAAAGTAAAATTTGTTGTTCTTTCAAACTCAGATTCACTCTTGTAGAGAGTATGCCAGAGAACCTGACTTATCCC